GGAGATCAAAGCCTAGATGACAATACTAGCAGGATAATTAGGGCAGGATTGAAGCACACATTTCAAAATGATCCTGATGATGTACGGGGCTCCGGCTCCGGCGAAGATGACGAGAATGAAGAAATAAAGATGCTACAGATGAATGAACGAGTGAAAGCTCAGCTGGATGGTGGGGGTAAACAATTGGGAGCTCTATTACGTGAGGGGGACATAGCTTTGAAATCGAACAATCCATATAGGAGATTTATGGAACGTGATGCTTTTCAGCTGTCCAGAGGTCCCTTCTTGCCTGGTCCCTCGACATTTCCAAATCTCATCACATTACCGGGAACACCTGCTGAACCAGGCACATATATAGGTGTACCAGAAGCATCCTCATCTACCGCTATTGGCTCTCAACTTTCTTTCCCCGATCATGATTTGTTGCTTCCACCACATGCTCCTAGACACATACCCCGCAATTCCTCGGGGCCATCCAGTGTCCCTGCTGACCCTCCGTTAACAATATCCAACGCTGCTGTGGAAGATCTGAGGGAGAATATAGCCGTTGCGAAACTGAAGAGTGTTGACAGCCGGCATTATCCCTCCGAACAAATGGAGTCTGGACAAACAAGTCCACATCACTCTATGGCTAATACTCTGACTTGGGAGGGAAATGATGCATTGGTTCATCCTGCACCCCTGGACACATCTGAGACCCTTCTTGGTTTTTGCAAGGAGTACGAGATAAAGGAAAACGACTCAGAGCGTCTCAAGAACATGCGAATCGTTCCTGGACATAGTCGAGTGGAAACTCTCGCTCGGAAAGAGTGGCAGGATCAAGGGGGTTTCTCTCAATTAGATTGGACTAACTTCGTTCAGAAACACAGAATGTTCATTTGCAGTCAGCGTCACAAGGGCATCCACGAATCGGTATCACAGAATGTTTCTGTGGTAGAGCTATCGACCGCACCAGACATCCTACACAGTATCGATGTGAGTCTAGCAGATTTTTGTTACGCATATGAGATAATTCCCGAGGATGAAGAGCGACTGAGGAAACTGGGATATACACCAGGAGATAGGCGAGTAGAGGTGCTTCAGAGAGCGGAATGGCAGGTGTTTGGAGGGTTCTCGGAACTTGGTTGGAGAGACTTTCGGGAGAAACATGCTCGATTTCTTCAGAATGTTCGGAGAGACAACACTGTGAAGTTGGTGCAGCGTATAAGAGCCTTCATAGGAACGTTGAAAGGTTTTCGTTAGCCTCTCGTGTATCGTTGTTGGGCCTTGTAATTGGCTTTTACATGTATAGCATTTGATGGAGGAACTGTTTAGATATCTTTGGACGGAACCTTACCATGTTGATAATAGGAGTACAAGCAGGGAATTGGCATAGATCTATGACAGACAACGATAAAATCATAAAATTATGTACAGCTAAGAGGATGAAGGAAACCTAGTATACGGCGTAGGCGACGGGGACCTCGTCACGCACTCGTTGGTATCGTAGAGGAGTGCCATGGCATAGCTGGCATGGGGAAGGAGGAATGAAATTGACATTGTAGTCAGTATGGTTGGCCATGGTCAATTGATTTGACGAGTTGTCTGGTGGGAATGAGTTGCTTATAGCAGAAGCCAATGACACGCAGGGGCTAGATGTATATCCCAGACGTCAGTCTTCACTCTCCAGCACAGCTGCGACAATATATGCGATTGCGATTGAGCACTCACCCCAAATCTTTCATTCGAGCAACCAGCGAGAGATAGCCAAAGACCTTCTTCCAACCCAGGACGAAGATGTGAAAAGAAATGCCTTGCCAAGCACCGTAAACCATAACGAGGACAGTGAAAAAGAAAAACTCGGCACGCTGAGCATGAGGGAAACTTCAAGAGGAAGTAATGAAGTGATGGGCCTAGAGGCAAATGCGTGACCTCCTCGTCCTTTCTTTCGCTTCGATTTTTCTCTTTGTATATGACTGGGGATGTGGAAGGTGGACAGCAGACAAAACTTGGAATTCAGGAATAGATCACAGGAGCCTCAATATCGCTGACACTGGACACAAACCTATGAAACTCGAATACCAGACGTCCTTGTTCTTCGCCTCCTCCGCTTTGAATGCGTTCATTTCCGTCTGCCGACCCCAGACAATCGAAGGCTTCTACCCATCCGGTAGCCTTGATGATGACAATTAGTTGCTCGCTAAGATACGCGCCAGTCAAATCCATCACCCCTTACATAAGCTAATTTCATCGACGACGACGACGACATCTACTCAACCACATCACCCCTTTTACCCATTATAGTTCCTGGAATAGATAGAGAAGACCACAATCTACAGACTTCCGAAGTTTTTTTCAATTAAATATGATAATTACATGACTAGATACCAATATATATATTTTTCTCCTAAACTGCTTTTTCGATGATTTGAATACGTTTAGCGTGGTCGAATATTTCGGACCTTTAACATTTGGCGCGGTCACGTGACCGGGCCGGGTTCTCCGCCTCCTACTGTCAACGTGAATATGCGCGTCACTGAGGCTCTGTAGGTCACATTTAGCTTGCGAATCATGCCTTTGAATTCAAAAGCTCGCCGTTCATGCATCCAAAACATCCAGTAAGTCTCTAGGAAGGTTACTGTTGAGGAGCTTCATGACAAAGATGCACCAGCATGCTGCAATGAGCCAGAGGATGAGCTCAGCGACCTGAATCTTCCAGAGTCAATTCATGTTGAGGAAAGACCTCGAAAAAAAGGGCTATCACTCAGTGGTGGAATGGTTCAAGCAACAAAAAACGGTTCAGTGCGAAAGAGCTGCACATGAAGATGCAGATTCCAATAGGGATGGTCACGGGACTAGCTGCATGGGCTAATCGGCAATATCACGGACACCATACTTTGCCTCCATTGATGCTGGCTGAGGTGCGAAGGGAGGTGGCCACTTCAAATAGACTTTTAGAATAATCGTAAATATTTTTCAGCGGCTCTAGATCATATTTTCTCGGTTCTGAATTTTTGAAAATTCCTTAGGTCAAGATTTGGCGCGGCTTGGCATTACATAATACGCTTACATAAGGGGTGATGGATTTGACTGGCGTGTATCTTAGCTCTTTGTTGTTCTCTTCACGACTCAAGGCTCAAACCTATCAAATTGTCTAAAAGAACTATTGGACTTTGTGCAGTGCCTTATCGTCTATCTATCGAGGAAGTTCAGGATCAGCTATCATCTCGATTATCAATTCTACAGCAAAACATTCGGGATCGGATTCGGAGCGGAACCAAACCCCACGAACGGCGACATCCGATCTTCTCATGTCGTGTAACTATGCAACACGCAAATCAATGCCTTCGCATACTTATCTCTCCGATCGCTAAACCACCGATCGACATTGGAGGCTGATCTCACCGCGTGCCTCTCGGATGTTCGGAGTATGGTGTTCTCCAACAATCTTAGTCCGGCCGGTGCTTTCGTTCTTATCGAAATTATTTGACAATCCAGAGCTAATCAATTTTAATCAAGCCTTAAAAATATAAATCTGGATTCGCTGGAACATTCCTCTCTGGAATTTTGCGTCTTGGCTCTTGGTCTGCAATGCCAGATTACAGCGAGCATTGGAGGAGATCAAGCTCAGCGTTCAAGAAAGCAGAAACAAGGCCGGTCGATAAGCTGAAAATTTCCAAACGCCTAGTCCTGACTATATTGTATCGACTTGCCGCCCAGCTGCTCTATCTGGAAGCTACATACACCGGATATGTGCGCTGGGCTTAGCGCTGACATATCTGAATCTTGCGTTGTTAAACGAACCAGCTCGAATATGCACCCCTGCGACCCAAGTAAATTGCTGATATTTTCTTCTAATCACCGTCTGCAGCCCAAAGTTTGCTGTTCCTAGGATCATGAACTGCCAACAACTTTGGCTGCCCAACATTCTTCTCACAGATGTGCACTCGAAGCTTAAAGCACAACATCTGCATTAACATCGACGCAAGATGATCTGCTCTGTATCGTCGCTGCCCAAATTTAATACTTATTCTATTATCCTTACACCCTGCTCAAGACGCTAGACGTATCTTACAGATAGACATATTTAGTACTCCATCACCAAGCTTCATTTCCTCCAGAAATTCCTGCCATTGCATGCACCTAACGTATTGTTAACAAATCCACTCCAGAATATCATTATTTATCCTTGTAGACGCTAGCCTCGAGTTTCAGATATCTGACGTCCTCTTCCAAGTGGGACTATTATCAGTCTTCGGCCTCTTTTGTTTTTCCAATTTATTCCGATGTCAGCCAGACTCGCTCGTTTTGCCACTCAGTTTCAGAGCTTCCCGTGGGTTCATTTTTGGAAGGTAGCTGAATGCGTTCTATCTCGTTCTTGAGCATAGATATTTATAGCACGTTCTCGACGGTGCTCGCTACCGAGATTGAACGGTGACTTGGCCTCATTCTCTCGGAGGAGGTCTTAACTATTCAGCTCCTCCTTTTCTACATTAGAGCTCTCCAAATGCATGCTCTGTGTATTTTGTTCTTCGGTTTTCGTCGAGTTCTGTCCTTGAAGGACAACACATCTTCTAGTACGGCGAAACATCCACTCGCCAATCTTCCTAATCTAAATATATCTTCCAAGGGCCATCATATATTCATGTCTCGCGTTAAATTCATGATCCATCTTTTATACTCCCTCTAGGTCTCCATTAGCAAGCTCTTCGCTTCTCTTCTCCTCAAGTTTTCATCTTCTAGCTCTTTTACTTCTCAAATTTGCTGCCTTCGCGCCTTCTGGTCTTCAGTTAAGTAATGCTTCAAATTATCAGGATGCACGACCTGCGACCACCAATGGACGAAGTGAATCTTATCTCGTATCCAATATTTTGAAATTTTTGTCCCTTGTCTATTGAAGAAACCACTGCAACTCTATTAGCTTGCAGCTGTGATATGAGAATCTTAATCCATTCAGCCATCCCTATGCCTACATATACCTATTGCAGATATCGAGCCTCTTCCTTCTTACTCTTTTACAAGCATTAATGGGGTAGTGGTAACCTGGGTCGTTGCCATGTCGCTGGTGGCTGCTAAGCTCGACCCGCCGGGGGTTCGATTCCCTCTTAATGCATGATCAATAATGAAGACATCGTTTTACTCCAGAAGTATCAACCCCGTTAACAGAATAAAATAAAGTAGAGCTCAGTCAGATAAGAATTGACTTATATATATTGAGACGTAGCAATACCTAACAGAATAAAATAAAGTAAAGCTACGAGAACAATCAGTAAGAGTGAAACGAAATAAGTAAGTAAGTTGTAACTCACCTCAGTCAGATAAGAATTGACTGAGGTGTTTCTACGCTATCTAGAGGTCTTTTATACTACGAGAAATAATAAAAGGAGTATGTACAAAAGTAGAATTAAACATACTAATCGGTTGTTTCTATGTTACAGAGTCCGAGTAATAAATGTGTTGCTATTTCGTCTAAATAATACGTGGGTCCAATATTAGGAATTCCGAGTAGTACTTTAAGGGCGGGCGATGCGCGAGAGACGGTTTGTATTTCCAACACCCGTACAGTGTTCTTATTTTAATCTTGAGTGCTATAAAGTGATCAAGAAACCTATTTCGTATTTGCGCCTCTAGGTAGTGTGAAGCAACTGTACAAATTTTCTCTTACGGTCGGGTATCTTCGTATACAGCGTTGCCGTTCAAACAACGAAACTGAGCTTGAACCGTCATCGCAAAACATAGGCCAATCCATTGGGACTACACAGAATGTTTCACAACACCAAACTACCACCCACGATGCCCTGCCAAATCATCGAGGTACCGTGCCCTCTAGAAGCTTTGATATCAGAGCTGCTGGCATGCAAACTATAAATGGGAACTTCATTCGCAGTACTGCTACCTATCTAGGGAACCACTCCACTCGGGATATCACCAGGAGCCTCATAGAGGACTGGGCTCATCAGTGGTAGATGGATGATGGATCAGAGGGGGCAATTTTGAGCAAGAACTATTGCTTACACATCAGTCGTACTACAGCTCTTCTCCATGGGTGGGCTCGTGGTAGGGGCACGCAGACCCCCGACTTCAATAACGTCATCAAGAATTACAGATCTTTCTGACTCATGACAAAGGGTCGATTATATCTGGGCTCAAAACGAAAATCTCGACAGAACCATGCCATGCTATCAGTGTGGGAGCAAACGGAGAGCGTTTGAAAGTGGTCCCATTGGAGAGAAGATTAGAATCATGTTCTTTGGCTTCAGGCCTAAATGGAGGATCATCATACATTGAATTCAAATTGCTGCTGTTATAGATGATGAAGAATAAATGCATTGTCCATTTGAAAGCACATGTTATCAACTATGATCAAATAATCCATAATTGAGATATTCAGGGAAAGTCTAGAATATCTCCTTCACCAGCAGCCTTCCAGGTCTCTATGTAACGTGAACAATCGTTAGCATATTCAAATTAGCAAAGAAAAAGTTGAAAGGGGATAGTAATGCGTACAAAATACTGTCAATGTATCCTAGAGGTATCTTATCGTCTAATTGCCTCCCTATAACATGGAAGCGATTTAGTACATATTAACTGCAGGACCGAAGAATATCTTACATTCAAAGTGACTAATACGGGAGTATTCTTCTCAGAAATGCAAGAAAAAGATCATGCTGATTACCACTCACTGATGACCGTTGAATCAATGGGCAGATCGTCGAGCTGCCTCTTTTGCAACTTCAACTTATTTTGAACCGTAAGAGGACTCGCAATTGTGAGGGTGGCGACGAGGGCAATGAGAGTCGCGAGTGTAAAGAATTTGTACATGGTGGTTTTGGAAAGATTGGATGGTAGTACCAGCTTGAATCTGCTTGGTGTTGAAAGTAGTGTTGAATATGTACTGGATGTGGAACTGAAGACTTAGAGGCAGGATCATACGGCTTATATACCATAAATATTGGAATGCTTAGATAAGTAGCACTAATCAAAGCAAGCAATATGAATGGGGAGCATAGAGCCACCTAACCAATGTGTTCATTGCAACATCAGTACGATAGTGCTCCCGAGTGCTGTCAAGAGGCTCTGTCACGCATAAGGTATGAATGAAATACTATAACTGAATGAACCTTAAGCTTGATTTGATTAATACTAACGGCTCAGAGCACTTAAAAATACTCCGCTAGTATACAGCCGACAAATAACGAGCGCTGGTTGATAACCTTATTCAGCAATTCGTGAAAGGCTGGCGTGTTGGGACAGCTTCACTAGGTGGACGTAAGTGACAGGACAGTGTTATCTTTGTTGCAAGTAGTAAGGATGAGGCTACACAGTAGATATGAATAAGGATACATACCTTCGTTGCAAGTGGTAAGGATGAGGCAACGAAGGAAGAGAAAATAAAATTTTATATACTGAGGGAAAGCGGAAGTGATCGAGAAATAGTACGAATGAGGAAAGGTGCAGAAGTGATAGAAGGCGCGACGTTCGTCGGGCGTTCGGGAATGGGTATGCCGTCCATAGTGAGTCTGGTCGTAGGCTCCGGGCTTACAGTTCGCTCGATACCAAGATCAGCATTTCTGTGTTAGGTGGAATGTTGCGATCCAATTATTAGCTTCGGACAACGAGATAGCATGAAGTTCAGGAGTACTGAAGTTGTGATGTGAGGCATTGCCTAATGTTCAAGCCGCAAGCATCACATCACGGGAGCTTCCAACAATGGATATTATCAAGTAATATTAACGCAATCGCCCTCTAATAGCCCAAATTTCTCCGCGTCATACCAATGAACAGTCCTCTGGATTTTATCATGGAAGTCACGAAGTCACCCAGCCGTAATCCCCACAATGCTTCCAGATATCCCAATCCACCACTCTGATGACGACGCGTATCAGTTGTACTTAGTTCACGAAGAACTGTCCATAATACATATGATTTACCTTTCCAACTGTAACCACGATTGTCTCATACTTTCCAGTATAGATCGCTGGTGGATATCTTTTCTCCAAGAGGGCAATCACGTTTCTGGTGATCATGGAGGCGCTGGGTCCCGTATTTGGCAACCTGCTTCTGTTCGTACCAATCGATAACGCCCCCACTTGCTAGAACGTGAGGATAATGGAAGAGCTGTAGCGTAGGTGTAACTTTGACGCGATTTGACTCGACAAGAGCCCCTGGACCAAGACTTGCGACGAATTCAGTGTTGGGTCGGCCGCCACGGCATGGAATATTTGTGAAGCATCCGATTACGAGTGTACTATGAAATGTATGTCGGACACTTACAACGAGGTCAGTAGGGACAGTCTTTCCATTCTTCGTGGTTACGGAACCGTTCTGTGGCGTCAAATCCTCGACTTGCTCATTCAGAAGAACGTTCACGCCCCGCTTGCGCAGCCGTCTCGCGAGACCCTTCCTCCAACCACGAGAATACACGTGATTGAGAAGAAGTTCTTCTGCGTGGATTAGTGTTACTTCCTTTGACTGGAACTCAGCAGATGAGATGGCAAAAAACATGGTGTATTTCGAACGGTCCATACCGGGGCCATTGATCAGTGATCTCTTCCGCGAATTCTACAAACAAAGCCTTAGAATCAAAGTTTGCATATATATATCATCGAGAACGTACTAATACCAGCCGCCCCTCCTCCAACAACTGTAGTATTATTAGCGTTCTCAAATTTCTGCCTCCAATCCCTGATCCATTGCAAACATTCTTCCTTGGTATCGGGAAGAGCAACAGGTCCCTCCCATTTACTACCAGGGGTAAGGACGAGAACAGAGTAATTAATCTTGTTGCCATTAGCGAGAATTACCGACCCACCCTTGTCACCGTCACTCTGAATAGATACGACAGTGCCAACGACAAGCTTTCCATTACCCTTGACGAAGCTGTGGTCATAAGGTATCAGAGCACGATCTTCAAGCTTTCCTTTGTCGGTGACAGTCATACGGATGCAAGCGGGTAGATGAACGTAGAATGGTCTGACAGTGACGAGAATAAGCTCATACTTGGCACGATCGAGTTTCCCAGACAAAGAGTGAACAATCTGAGCACCAGCACCACCGCCACCTACGACGACGACGGTCTGACGTTTCTCGAGTTCAGACATAGTTTGTTTTGAACGATGGGGTGGGGGTAGGAACTATAGTTCCTACTTGAAGGATGATATATGCCGTCCCAGATGGAGGTGGGAGAGCTCAGCTTTCTTGATAGAGCCAACCGCAGAACGGAGGCCTATAATAAGGCAGCGCTGTGCGGTTCTTGGGAACATAGCGGCCTGGGAGGCGCAGCCCGTCGAGCGGGAAACCAATGGGAGACTGATATCCGATGGTCTTTGGGAGCCTGTTTACCGGATGGCTGCATTTCCCGGATGATGTGACAGTTTCATGTAGCAGCGCTGAGTCCAGTGGTACGAATCGATATATAGAACCAAAATTAGCTGTATACATGGTGCAATCGCCTGCTCAATCCTTCACTAAAAGCCAGTCAAATGCTTCAGAATACAACTGAAACATCAGTTCGTTACATCCGATATGCAAAAGGTATACAATGTCATACCTTACAGATACAACGGATCTGTCGAATTCCCAAGCAGGTGTCGATGTGGGAAATGGGGTACCTGATATCCATCCACTCGGGGCGTTCGCCAGATTTGGAATCTTTCTAGTTCGCTGGGAGACGGATCTAGGCTGGCCTATTAGAGATGTAATAGATCATTTTCGACTCGTTCAAGAGTGAATATTCGATGAAGATGAAGATGTCGCCAAGATGCCGAGTAAGAAAATACTTACAAGCGATTCTGAAGCGGCTCCGAGCTTTGCCGCTACTTGTCATTGTGTATTTGGTCATAATATACAGTTGACCTGCTCATAATGCGTAGCGTCCGGAGAGGCCATGTTCCTATGCATTATGAAGTTTATACATTATGAGCATGGAATTTGGGTGGGTGATGACATTTTCTCCCTCCAAAAACCTATGCATTATGAGCAGTTCGACTGTACTTTGCAAGTGTAGCGACTCAAGCGGTGTCGGCGTTCTCCTCGCGTCCGAATTATGTAGATCATTCATCTACTGGAATAATGCTAAGTTCTAACTACTGCTCCAACGGTCTAGTCGCGAGC